CACACACACTAATGCAAGATCAAATTGTGAGCCTACACTTGTCACAAATCCAAGGCTCCATCCTAGGCTAAATCTCAAGCCTACACTTGTCAACCATCCAAGCCAACAAGTGCACCAATCCTAGGCCAACAAATGGTTAAATCTCCACCCTCCACATGTCCTCATCCAAGGCCTCAAAGTGTTTCCACACACATGTCAACAAGTGGACCAATGAGAGTGTGACACTTGTCACACTTTTCGAAAATTGCAAAAAGGTTCTTTTTGAAAATATCTCCCAAATTAAATTACAAAATGGTCCCTAAGATGAAAAATAATTACTTTACAGTAATTACACAAAACCCCTAAAGTTAGGAAAATTACAAAAAGGTCTTGCATCTACAAAAGTGAAAATACACATAACATGGAATTTAAATATCATGGATGCATGCAAAACCGGAATCAAATCCAAACACGAAAAGTGAAGTTATGCTGAAAGTGACAACCGAGAAAAAGACGAAATGTGAATAGTGTCACAAGTGAAAATGTGAAAATGACTCGATCCTCAAAAGAAGTCGTCAATCCACGGAAAAGAGTCTCAAAAACCATCCTCGAGCAATCAAGATGACACTAAGTGACGAGAAACCGAACTCAGAAGGGAAAAGATCAACGGAAAAAAAATATCCGTGAAAATCCGAGAAAAGGAAAGGAATGAAAATGACCGGGTCATTACACTAGGAACTTGGTTTTTCCTTTAAAATCAACTCTTCAAATTCTAACGCCTTATGCTTGAGCTTAAATGCCAAGGCTCAAGCACCCTAAGGTTTGGCTCGAGCACCACTGAGTAAGGCTCGAGCTTCGATGCCTTGTTGATTTTTCTTCTTTTTCTTACAGGGCTCGAGCCTCAGGACTTAGGCTCGAGCTTTGGTTCTTGAATTTTTTCAAACTTCACCATTTAGTCTCTCGGCTTGGTTTCGATGACCGGCAATGACTCTGTAAGCTTCGATATTAGTCTTTTCATCATAAAGTCCTAGTTTTAACCATTTCTCTGGGAAAGTACTTATAAACACATACCAAACATAAATCAGTCTAACAATGGATAGAAGCATCACTTTAGGCCTTAAAATACGTATATTTAAGGGCTCAAATATGCAATATTCAGTGCTCATCAGTACCATCCAAGGAAAGCGAATGTGGTGGCAGATGCACTAAGTCGCCGACCCTCTATTAGTCTTTCTGCATTATTTGCTACTGAGTGGAATATTTTGAAGACAATTGATGAGTTGTGTAATGCTTTTACAGCGTGCATGGTAGTTACACCTTCGATCATTCACAAGGTATTGAAGGCATAACTCACAGATCAGCAGTGCATCAATAAGGTTGCAGAGATAGCTTCAAGGAATGTTCCATTCTATCAAGTTGGGACTAATGGAGGCTTAAGGTACAAGGGGTGGTTAGTAGTACCTTCTGTTGATGAGTTGAGGAAGGTTATAATGAATGAGACTCACCGTTCTGAGTTTTCTATTCATCCAGGAGGAGACAAAATATATCAGGATATGAAGCGACAGTTTTGGTGGGTAAGTATGAAGAAGGACATTGTTATCTTTGTCTCTATGTGTAGTACTTGCCAGATGGTCAAGATTGATCATCAGAAACCACTAGGTTCTCTATAGCCATTACCTATACCAGAGTGGAAATGGGAGAACATTTCTATGGATTTTGTAGAGGGATTGCCTAATTCATTTAAGGACCACAATTCCATTTGGGTCATCGTTGATAGGTTGACCAAATCAGCTTATTTCTTGCCTATTCGCACTAATTACACTTTGGAACAATTGGCGAGACTTTACATTACAGAGATTGTGAAGTTGCATGGCATTCCGTTATCTATTATATCAGATAGGGATTCAAGCTTTATATCGGGATTCTGAAAGAGTTTTCAACATGCTTTGGGTACCGAGTTACATCTTAGCACTGCTTACCATCCTCAGACTGATGGACAGACTGAGAGGGTTAATTAGATCATGGAGGATATGCTCTATTCTTGTGCCTTGACTTTAAGGGTCATTGGGATTAGTATTTGCCACTTGTGGAGTTTGCATATAACAATAGCTTTCAGAAGACTATTGGTATGGCACTGTTTGAGGCATTATATAGGCGACATTGTCGATCTCTTATTTGTTGGATGGAGGTTGGAGAGGGCAGATTTTTAGGTCCTGAGTTCATTAAGGATACCTCTGAGAAGATCATTCTTATTAAGGATCGTATGCGCGCTACCCAGAGTAGGCAGAAAAGTTATGCCGATCGTCATACTCGTGTATTGGAATTTCAGGTGGAAGATCAGGTTTTACTCAAAGTGTCTCATATGTAGGGAGTAATGCGCTTTGGGAAGAAAGAGAAGTTGTCACTGCATTTCGTTGGTCCTTTCATGATTACGGATCGAGTTAGAGCTGTAGCTTATCAATTAGCACTTCCAGATCATTTACATCGGGTCCATAATGTGTTCTATGTTTCCATGTTGAGGAAATTTCTTCGCGATGAAGATCGTTATCAGCATATTGATGTTGGTGAGATTGAGTTGCAGCAGAATGCAACCTATGTGGAACCACCATATCGTATTGTAGACCGTAGGGATCAGATTCTTCGCAATAAGGTCATCCCTTTAGTACGTGTCTAATGGAGCCATCACAATGAGGCTGAATCTACTGGGGAACGGGAGGATGTCATTCGCTCAACATTTCCAAAAATAATAGAAGAAGGTAAGGGCGAATTCAGAGGACAAAATTCCTTTTATTAGGGGGGAAGAATGTAATATCCTTAATTTTAAAAGGATAGTCTCGGTATTATTTTAAATATTTTACTTGCATTTTATTTATTTATTTGATTATGTGGTTATTTGCTTACGTGTTTAATTGAATTGTTTAATTACATATTTTATTTGCTTAAATGTGTTATTTGACTTAATTGAATATGTGCTTGAATGTTATTTGAATTAGTTTGTTTAATTAAGGTATTGTTTATTTGTAATAAATTGTAGATTAAATGTTTTTTTTTTATTTTTTTTTATGTTTTATTCTATGGTTAGTAGTAATGGACCAACCAATTGGGTTCCATAGACTATTTGGGTAGGTGGTTTGATGGGTACGGATAATTACTCATGGATGGTTGTATATGTGTATATATATATATAAATATATAAGGAAAGTCATTTAGTAATAATCTAATGTATATTTATATATTTATATAATAAGGATATACATATATTATACGTGACATATTTTAGTTACCTTTTTAATATTTTAGTTTTATTATTTTTCTTTATTAAGTTGACTTGAATTGGGAAAAGGAGTTGGGTTATTATTTAGCCTATAAATATATAACTATAGGGTTGAAAAAGGGGACTAGAAATATATCACATAATATATTTTTGAGAGAGAGAGAGAAAGAAGGAAGTGAAAGAGGAAGAATGAGTTTTTATCAAATCCATAAAAGCAAGTTCTTGTTCTACACTTCTCCTTTGATCTGTGAATTATATATCTTTAGTATTATTTTAGGATTGTTTAAAGAATAATTAAAACTGAAATCTATAATTTAATTGATCTAGAACATAGGCTTTATGAATTTTGTTCATAGTTATTCTTGTTGTATGAATTAATAAATTCATGGATTTGATCTAGTTTCTTTATGAATTCTTACATGTTTTAAATAATGTAATTTCATATCTGTGTATTGATGAGACTTAGAAACATGCCTTAGAATCCTTAACAGTAAAGAACGAATTCACGGCAGAAGTTCTGGGTTGAATCGTGTAAACAGTGTTCGATCCGTTGTTATAGTGCTCGAGCCATGGATGAAAAACTCGAGCCATAGGTGAAAAGATTAAGCCTTGGAAGCAAAGCTCGAGCTTTTCAACCATGGGTGAAAAGCTTGAGCTATTGATACAAAGCTCAAGCTATTGATGTAAAGCTCGAGCCATAAACAGGAAGTTCGAGCTATGGATAGAAAGCTCGAGCCATAGATAGAAAGCTCGAACTATTAGGGTGAAAACTCGAGCCTTACCTGAGAAATTTTCGTAAACAGTGTTAAATTGGTCTTAATTGATTTTGAAGGGTCCTGAATATTAAATAGGGACTAGGTATGAGTTTAAATAAATTTTAAATAGACTTGATCATAACGATGCATGCTATTTGAATGTTTTAAACAAATGAATGGATTTAATCTTTTAAATTATTCTAGCAATTGAGATTATATATTCAGCATGAATTGAAATTGGAGAATGCTTACTTGACTGTAAAATAAATATCGACATGTTTAAGATTCAGTTTGTGCAGGATACATGATGTAGAAAGCTTAAAGAAATTTATAAGTTATTCCTATTTTGTGATAACATGATATTCTATTATTATATTAATTTTTGGATTATCTGATGTATTATTTTATTTGTTATATCAATTATTGGATTGTGTGGATGTAGTGCACCAATATGGGTTGGTGGCACTCTAGGGACGGATTAACTTATTAGTTAAGTCCTACCTATTTTGTCTAAGGAAATGGATTAACTAAAATGTTAAGTCTTACTTATATTCGTGTCAGGTCAACTGAATAAGTTGGATGATACATAGTGGATTACTTTATATTGGATAGGATGGACGATATATATATATATATATATATATATATATATATATATATATATATATAGATATATGCCTTGATACGAGTTTGAGTCTCAGGATCAGTGGTTAGGGTGCATATAGTGTCAGGGATGTGTAGCTAGATATAGTGTAATTTTGTGCCCTGGTAGGTCTAGGTACTTATGCCCACTATATGTGCGTTTTGCATATTGCTTACTATTCAGGTTGAGGAAACCCTATAGTCTAGTGAGGTTCCTTTAGTGTGTATAAGTATTTATTGATTATGTAGTTATGGCATAGATTAGCTATAGATATGTAATTTCTCCGATTTTTGTTTGAGTTATCGTAGAAAGAACTTGTTTGTGGGCCTGACCCACTATTATTTTTCAGGTGTTCGTCAGTTTTCGACATCAAGCTTGTTCGTGCTAAACAGAGACAGTCCACATCATTCTTCTGATTCTACGTAGGATTCTCTTTATGTTTTAGTTTTGGATTATATTTCTTTTCAGTTGTTTCAGTTGGGATTTTATTAAGGGTCCACTAGATGGATTCCCGAGTTGTAATGACATCAGAGGTTTTGGATTTTTTTCATTTGAAGGATTAGTTATTTATTAATTTAAGGATTTATTATTTAGTTTTCTTTTCTGTTATTTTATTTATTCTTAATTATTTCTTTTGTAATCAAATGTTTGTTTATATACTTAATTATTTGGTATCCCTTGGATCTGTGCTCAGACTTGATCACCCGTGGCTCTAGAATCTAGGGGTATCACATCTTATGTGGAGGCCTACTTTGGTGACAAGTGGAGAGTGGTGATTAAGTGTGTGTGTGAGAGAGAGAGAGGTAGTGCTAGCATAGTGTAAGGTGTGTGTGTGTAGCCTTTAGTTAGTAGAGAAATACAATATTTCCCACTAACTTCTTCATCTCTTCCTCACCTTCCTAGCCTCCATTGTTTGATTGGACTTCTTCCTCACACATTTTGGCTTGGTGCTTCGGAGACAAAAACCTTCCCCTCTTCCTTCTCTAAAACACCGTTGCTCGGTTTTTCGATTTGAGTTCATTTGCCTTAGATTCTAGAGCTTGTTACTCTAATGATGTAGGGGGTTGTTGTATGTTTATTTCCTTTATGTTTTTGTGCTTTTGAGGTTCTCTATATACTACGTACATGCTTATTGTGTTATAGGATTGCATTTAGATAATGATTCTATATACTTGACTTAGGTTTTGATGATTCAAGCATGTGCAACATATATATATTATCTTGTGTAAAGCATATGTTCATTTAGTGGGTTACTAAATTCTAAAGATTTCATAGTTGTTGTGATATAAAAGTCTTGTTGATTATTACTTGTATTTACCTTGCAAGCTTATTACTATATTGTGTGAATTAGTAATTGTGGCTTACTTTGATAGTGAATTGGTTTAGCATGATTTGTTATATCATTGTTTTGTGTAACGAATCACACATTGAAGATTTAACATTGTCTATGCCATTGTTGTGTGTAGTGAATCTATGACGACCCTGGATTTTTGAAACCCAGTGTGTCATGTGATGACCCAAAACAGATCCAAAAATATGGAAGCAAAACATAAACAAGTCTTTAGAGATGTACGTCATCCCAGAGACATAAGAATGGCCTTCCGAGAAGTCCCGTGACTGAGCGGAAGTAAGACCGGAGTTCGGGTTTCAAAACCCTCCAAGGAATGGACCAAGGGCAAAATAGTCATCCAAACTGAAATGGGTGCCACCATGCACACCATTGGATAGAAAACAAAAAATTAACAAAGTTAGACTCAAGAATCGCCTAATTCGTAGTCCGGACGAAAAAAATATGAAGATAAGACAAAACTGCGTCCTCCGATTAAGAGATATCACGACCCTATCCCACTAAAACTGTCATAACTCTCACTATGGTTGGATTATTTATGCGTGGTTGGTACCATTGGAAAGATTAATTTATGTTCTTGAAGTTAGACTCAACAATGGCCTGATTTGGATTAAAAATGAGTGAGATATGACCCTCTAAAGTTAGCTCAAGAAAGTTGTCCAAGAAACTAAAAAGAAATCAAGCTTCAGGGAGGATCAGCAAGCTGACGACAAGGATTAGTCGGCTGAAACTGCATCATCAACTAGTTGATAGCAAGGATCAGCTGGCCAAAATGCCCTATCAAGGTTGCAAACTCACTGGAATTGACTATGAAAGGATATCAGGTGGCTGATAGAAGTTGTCAGCCAACCGATGCACCAGATAGCAACAAAATCTGCTATTGTAAAGTGTGAGGAAGGTGCTCAATCCAAACCTAATGCTATACATGTATCACATATGTCCCAAAACAAGTTTAAAACATTCCATAGCTTCATACAAGCATTAATAACATGCAAAATCAAAAGAGAAGCTTGAATCATACTCCAATGCACAAAACTTGCATAAAAACTCATAAATCACCCCATGATAGTTCCAAAGCCAAAACTTAAGAGTTTTGTGAGATGTGGACATGCACACAAATATAAAAAGATATTAAGACGAGTCCCAATAGCCCGCGGCTTCAAAAAAAATCCCAATGCAAAATATGACCTATCAAACCTCAATTTTGCATAAAATTGCCTTAAAATGTGAAATACAACACCATGGCACATAAATGAAAACAAAATGGTGTTCTGCCCTTGGCCACACCTTATACATAGTAAATGAATGCTAAAGAACAAATTTTATACACAATGCACACTCCGGTGCAAAAACATGTTAAAACCTTTGGTTTTCATATTATTTCCATTAAAGGAAAAATTCAACATTCATGGCATAAATGTGATTCCAAAAAAAGTTTGGCCCTTTGCCACATATCATATACATAAAATGTCAAATAGTGTGCTTAGGCACACATTACAAGTTTCAAGGCAAAAATGACATTTTGGCCTAACTATGCGTTACAATCTAAAAAGGTAAAACGAGGTATGCTAACACTTTCATGCTCGTTAAAATACATCAAAGAACTCTAAAATATACAAGGTGACCTAGGGATGTTGTGCATCCCAAACCAAGGTATCCGTACCTAAAAAATAACCCAACAACTAGGGTAAATAAACAAGTTACTCGTAGGAAGAAGTACATGTGTATACCCTAAAGTTTCAAATGTCATGCAAGTTCAACATAGATCATCATAAGGGGTCATTCCTCCTAATGTCTATGTTCTAAGGTGAACTAAGGGACCATCTCAAGCTACTTAAGCAATTGAAATGAAAGACAACATACAAGTACACATGCTCAAGTATACTAAACAATGTTAAAACACAATGCATGACATATAAGCATACCATTACAAGCATACTAAACCATGCTAAAACAAGATATACAATATCTAAGCATACATACACAAGTATACAATTAATACAGAAATCATCGTTAATCAAGTATACAAGCACAAGTATACTAAGCTAAATGAAATATGCATTAGATAAGTATTCTAGTATACTAAATGGAATTTAAACACACGAAGTAAGTATACGAGTTCAAGTATGCAAAATGAGGTTTAAATAAACGAAGCAAGTATACTAAATGAGATTTAAATACACAAACAAGTATACAAGTTCAAGTATTCTAAATGAGATTTAAATACATAAGGCAAGTACCAATTCACAAGCTACAAGTAATCCATGATTAACTACTTGGAAATTGAATGCGAAATCAAATAGTGGAAAGACTAGGATACGTGGTCATAGACCAAGCAAGTTATTCTGAGTAATTACGACACACAAGGTACTACCTAGTGCACACATGTAGAAATTATTCTGGGCAATTACGACCCACAAGGTATTACCTATTGCGCACTTTATATGACTTAGAAAACTCTTACCTCCATACTAGATCTAAACCCTAGCCATCACATATATATATTATCCTTACAAGCTTTTCAAAATCAACAAGTTCAAAACTTTATAAATAAATAATGCGATTAACCACATTCCATGCACAAGTAAGGTTGAATCCACACAAACCATGTCCTAGAATTCAAGTCTAAATGGCATATGACATGTTAAGTCCTCAATATACGATTTATACACAAAATAAGAATATTTTATAACAATTGAGCCAAATTATCAACCTAAGTCACAAGTACTAAATAAGCTACAATTTAGTAGCAAGCTTTCAAAGTAATCAATTGTAATATTCTAAATAAGATACATACCTACACAAGATATATTTAAACAAGTTTTGCAAGACAATGATATCATATATCATGCTAAGTCCAATTAAGATTTTAGGAGGCCACAAGTACTAATTCTACACAAGTCTAGTAACATTCTCACAAGGTAACCAAATGTATTACATTTCAAGAGATTATCATCCTAACATGAAAAGTCTCTAAAATCAAATAATTTAGTAAATGAAACAATTTACCTACGACAAGATATACATGTTCTCAAGGCTTTGAATTATTAAACAAGCTATCTAATGCACTTAACCTATAATCTCAAGACCACTAGTTGTCATGTTATCTCTACACATTATATATATATAAGCTAGGCATGCTTTAAACTATGAAACAAGCTATATAACATATATATATATATATATATATATATATATATATATATATATATATATATTGATGAGCGCTGAAAAGTGAACTTTTAAACCCCTTAAGCATGAGTGTTCTACGACCTTTATCTATCTTATTTTTCCATTTTAGTACTTATTTGTGCTTTTGTCTATTTCAGGTTAATAATGTTAAAATAGGCTAAAAATGGTTTCTTAAGGCCTTTTTGGAGTCAAACTAAGTCTTAGTGAGGATCCAGAGTAAAAGGAAGCTGATTTGGAGCAAAAGGAAGCTAATGCTGAAAAACTGCCAAGTTGGATCGATCCAACTTTTTCTGAGATCGATCGAAGTTAGATCGATCGAAAATAAAAGTTGGATCGATCGAACTTTTCTCTAATCGATTGAAGAAAAAGTCTGATTGATTGAACTTTTGCTGGCAACGAGCTGTCTTATTCCCGTGCGCGCCCTAAAGTCCACCTACCACATAGTACAGGATTAGATATTTTTGGAGCTATATTCCTGACTTAGTGACTAAGAAAAGGACCTTCTATATAAAGGGAAGTGACCCATTTTGTAAAAGAGCTTTTCATCATTTTATTTTTACATTGTAAATATTATATTTCTCTCTCTACTAAAGTTAGAGATTAGGATTAGAAGAAAAGAGGGAAATGGAGGCACATCTCAAGACCTATCTCTAGATCCACACTCTCTCTCTCTCTCTAGAGCTTCAAAGAAGAAGAAGAAGAAGATGGAGCCATGTTTAGAGCTTACCCTTGAGGGTTCCATAACCACATCTACCTCCTCCATGATTGGCTAGATCTACACTTAGGGCTTGGATGAGCCCTAAGTCTTGTGTAATCTAAACCCTTGTATTTATATTTTTGGGAATCTATATATATTGTTGTGATTAGTGTTCTAACCTTGTGAATTTAATGAATCTTGGTATATTTCTATGATTTCTATGGTTTAATTCTTCCTATTAATTCTCTAGTTTATTTACATGTCTATGTGTGATTAAATTGGGAATTATTTCTTACATGATTCATATGGATTAATTCAATCTATTGATTCTCTATTTGATTACATGTTGTCTTATATGTGA